GCTGCACTTTTTATACAGGAAAAATGTGGTGAAATTCCCATTAAAGTTGAAAGTGTGGTAAATCCAGTGTGGGCCAGTGATATCCCAGGAAGATTTACAGAGATACCTAATGGCTTTAGGTTCCACTTTGCAGAAACTCCAGAATTACATTGTGCTATCCAGACCCACAGGACTGGACACACCTGCACATCCTTTCCATCCTGGAGAATGGGTCTATGTTAAGTGGTGGGACAGTAATCCTCTACAAGCCAAGTGGAGAGGACCATTCCAAGTCCTGCTGACCACCCTGACTGCAGTCAAAGTTGCTGGCAAACCACTCCAGAGCTCACTACTCCTGGAATCACTACTCCAGAGTTAAGAAAACTTCTGCTCGTGAAACAACTGCAAAAAGAGACTGATGCAGACAAAAACATGTTTTAAATAATTCCTCTTCTGTGCCTAAAGAACTGTTCATAATAATAATTATTCTTCTTTGCATGATACCCAACTGTGCAAGACATTACTAGTGTTAGATATTTATCATATTTATCATTCTTATAGTTAGTTAGTTAATATTGTTAGATATTTTTCTATTATTAGATATTTACTGTTAGATATTTACTGTTGTTAGATACTTATGTGTTATTAAATACCCATTATTAGTAGACATTTAGAATAGAGACTCGACAAGGTAAAGGCTTTGTCAAGCCTCTATAGGGGGCAAATGATGCCTTAAGATTTACTTTCATATTTTTAGATTCTGTACTGCCTTAGTGTGTGGTTCTGAACTTCATATAAAGTGTTAGTAAGTTCTCTTCACAGGGTAGTTAGACAAAACAATCCTTTTCCAGAACCAAGAATAGCCTCAGGCCCAAAAAAAGCATAAACATCAGCGAATTGAAGAGAACAAACTGAGAGGATGGGACTTCATAACCTGAAGCTGTAATTAAGCCCAATATATAAAGGGACCAAAACTTCTAAAAGTGTGAAGACTTGTGACCAGTCATGCATCTTGTGTCCATCTCACATCCATCTCGCAGAGCCCTGGCCAGGCTCTTGTACTGCCCAAGGTGTATCCTTTAAAGGCGTTTTAATAAATATTTGCTTTATTCCTTGAACTCTGTCTAGCCTCTATTCCAGATCAGCTCCTCTCTAGGCTCACAATCAGAAGGCAAAAGCCAACTAGGTGACAAAGAAACAGAAAATGTGCTAAAAATCTACATAGTGCAAGGGTGAAAAAAAAAGGGTGAAGAGTTAAGTCCTCACACCACAGCCCACTCTTGTCATCATGTTATATGAGCTGTCTGCCCCCAAGGACGGTAAGACAAGAACAGTGAGCACCATGTACCCCAGCAGTCATCATCTGGTGACCTTCCAACCTCACACAAAGCATGAGGCAGCATCTTGGCAGTTCTTTATGCTTACTTGCCCAGTGCTTTGAGTTTTAAGCTGGAAAAGTGAAATCTAGTTCACATTCCTCTTGTGACTGATTTAACTTGTATCTTTTAATCCTCCTATATATCCTGTAGCCATGATATTATGAAAAATCCTTTGCTGGGATTTTTCCTCTCCTGAGAAGCTGAGGAGCCTCAGGAGAGAAATGTAAACAATTACTATCTGCTGCTGTGGAATGCAACAGGTGCATCCATGATTGGTCCATGTGGATTGTTTTCCATTGATGACCAATCACAGCCACCTGTGCCAAGGCTGTGAGCAGTCACAGGATTTTTGTTATTCTATTCTGTTCTGTTCTTGTTGTAGCCTTCTGATCTCTCTGTTCTTTAGTATAGTTTTAACGTAGTATTTTAATATAATATTTAACATAATAAATCAGCCTTCTGAAATGGAGTCAAGCCTCATGACTCAACACGTGGAGAGTCCCCAACAATATCCTCCCAGCATATTGGTAAAAACACAATTCAGATTACTTGGGCAGAAAGAAGGTTTGACCAAATGTCTTAATTAATTATTTCCCATAGCAAATGATTTCCTTATATAAATTCATTTATTATTAAATATATACACCAACTTCAATACACATAATTTTTTTTCTCCAAGCTCATCATGGTGTATGAACACAAACACAAACATTCCAAAGAAATCTACAGTTACTAGAAGGCAAATGTAAAAAACCACAGCATTATGGAGAAAGCAGCTACTGGGATGTACAAATCACCTTCTTTAACCAAATAGCTCATAATTGCTACTCTTTTCAGCAGTTATTTAAAACAAGCCTATAGAATTTTAAGGTATAGTACATCATATGTGGAGAACCAAAGAAATGACTATGTAGGCATGGACTCATCACTACTCTCAGGGCTGTATATGTATTACTCTATTACTAAATTATTACTTTTCTGTTAATATCTGATTCTTTCACAGGGACATGAAAATTTTAGCCATTCTTGATTAAAATGCTAAGTAAAATCTCAGAAAACAAGTTGTTGGGTTATTTTTATAGTACAATTAACAACTTTGCATAATTTTGCATTTTGTCAGTTGTTACAGTCTGCACTTTTACTCCCAAATAAGTTTGCCTTAATTACTTGGAGGCTTAGTAAATACATATCCCAACTATCTGGGAAAGCATTTGACTAAACTCCATGCAGCCAAAATACGTTCTAAAATATAATCTCTAGCTCTTCTTGCTCTACTCTGTTTCCCAAAAAAATCCACGCTTCAGTTTTCCAAGCAAAGTATCAACAAATCCCCCCCTGTGGCTTCTGAGTCCCTGCTCCAGTAACTCCAGCAAGACACCATAATCCAGCGAGGCCACTTCATCCTCACCCCACAGGAGAGGCTCAGCAGTAAGGCTGTATGGGGTGTGCTTTGATGGGGCCACACGGCGTGGGGGAAGAACTGTTGAATTGTGACTCGAAAGCTGTTGTCCTCACTGGAATTAACACACTCCAGGTCCAGATTCCAGTGTTCTAGTGAATAGTTTTAAGGGAATTTCAGAGAAAATGAGATCTTCACTAGAAAGTGCTGAGGCAGAGAGCAGAAGTGCTTTTTATACTGGCAGCCACAAGTGAAGGAGGGAGGGAAAGAAGAAGAAAAGAAAGGAGGAAGGAATAAGTGAAGGAACTGTAGCCTTTTATAAATATATCAAGAGTTTATTTTAACATGGTTTTTTACTCAGTAGGGTAAAAAATTGGCACTTATTTGTCTGTGCTTAAATCAAATACAAGGTTTTGTTTGCAGCAGGTTTATTCAGTTTCATTCTGTGAGAAGGAAAGGAAAATTCTATAGATTTCAAAGCAAATTCACTATTATCCTTGTGATGGTTTTCTTGACAATTATGCATGAGAGTTTTCTGATTGCTCAAATGCAAAATATCTAGCTTCACTCTTGAAGAGTATCTTTTTTCTGCCATCTTCATTTCTACTTAAACAGTTCTACTGATGTTTATGTAAAGAGGGCATTAAGAAAGGTTCCATTTTCATAGAACAGATTCTGTTAGGTTTTGTAAATATACTTACAAAGGTGTGTGGGATAAATGCCCATAACATGGTGCTCCACATTTAAAGTGCTTTCCATCAGCAAGCGCCTGCAAAGACAACCATCAGAATGCAAGACTTGTAATGTGGAGAACTAATGCTTCCAAAAATAAGTAAGAATGCAGAGATGTTGACCACTCAATAGAGTAAATGTACTACTTCTATCTAATAGAGTATGTTTAAAATAAGTATGTTTTATATCAGTCTTACATAAGACATTAGCTTACTTCAACAATAGTTTGGACATGACTCATTGTACACAAAACTGATTTTCCCACTTTTACTAATGGGACAGTTATGAATTATTCTAGTGCCTGAATAATTTCTCAAGTAGTACAGACATGGCAAGCAGGCAAATCTATTACCTGCCTAGCTACAGGGATTCACATGCATACATTTTATTTTCCTGATTCTGAAGGTGAACCGTGGCACAGAAATGTTTACAATGTAGGCATTAGGTGAGATGAATCCCAGCGACACACCCAATGTCTCCCATGATGAAAACAGGGAAGTATAATAAGGCACACATCCAATATATTACTTGGTATTAGGCAGGTAAAAAATTTCTCTTGATGTGAGGGGTCTCCAATTCAAGGCTTTTTGGAACAAGGAAGCCCTGGCATCAGATTCAGAGACTATGAGCATTAACAAAATGAACATATAAATTTCAAAACAGTAGCCATGCATGAAATCTTACTATTCCTTTGGGATGTAACTGCACAATGTTCTAATCCAAAAAGTATTTATTTAGGACCTAACTGACTCTAGAACAAAGCTGTTGTCTTGAGAAGCACGGGACAGGCACAGAGAGGTCTCTGTTGTGGAAGGCAGACTTCACCAACCACACTCGGCAATATCTGAGTGTTACTTGGCCATCTTTGAGTAGCAGGAGGGCCGGGGGCACTAAGAGCAACCTCCCCAGCAGGGATATGCTCGGCAATATGGAAAGGGGATTTAAGGCAGTGGACTTCTTTCAGTTTAACTTAGAAAATCAACCAGCCAAAAAACGAAAATAAGGGGTTAAAAAAGGTTAAATATTCAGATTTTAAGACTACCACCTCTATAGCTGTACCAAAACTTATGCTGTTAAATGTACAGCCTGGGAGCTAGCAGACCACGTACCACAGTGATGGGCACATCGTGGTTTAAAAAAAAAAAGGATGCTACATACAGCTGCCTTCTGTGGTAGCCTAAGGAAAACCCGAGGCTGACCACACGGGTTTGTTTTCCATGGATGAGGTGAGGAATGCCGACATATAGGGAGTGGACCAGGAATGAAGGCATCCGTAGGCAAGGAAAAGATCACCCTTGTCCGGATCTTTCCTCAGGAACCCAGACGAAAACCCCTAAAAGCAACTTCTCCCTCGCCTCAAGCCCGACGCGGGCGCACAACGCCGGCAGCCCAGACGCCGGGAGCGGCTCCCGGGCAGCCCTCACGGCGGGGTCCGCCGCGGGGCGGGGGCAGCGGGCAGGCGCCTCCCCGAGCGGCGCCCCCGGTCCTGACGGCGCTTCCGGGCGGGGGAGCCGGGATGTGCGTCCGGGTTGGGTCGGCCCCAGCGAGCGGTTTCCTCTGGCCTTCCCTCCGTCTCCTGTTCCCTGCCCCCTGCACCGCCGTGCCCTCGAAGGGAGCGCCGCCCGCTCGCTCCGTAAGGGGTTGGTGAGACGGGCCGCGGGCGGGCGGGGATCGGAGCCGGGGTGCCGCGGGCTGGCGGGAGCGGGGCCGGGGCCGCGGCAGGGGCCGGGGCGGCCGAGCCTCCACCCTCGGCGTGGCCCCTCGGGCAGGGCCGGGAGCTGCCGGTGGGATGGATCCCTGCGCGGAGACCCGTGGGTGGCTGCCTCTGTTCTCGCCCAAAATGGCCATCCGGCTTCCCGGAGCGAGCGGGGCTTGCGGAGCTCCGGGTAGCCGGGTGTAGGCTAATGCAGGCAGGAAACATCATCTGTCTGAGCAAGCCGAGCGAAGGGATCGGGGAGCCGCGCTCTGCCAGCGCGGGTGTGAGTGTGGCGATGGGCAGAGCCTTGAAAACGGGTCCTCTCCTTCGAAAGGAGCGGGATCTTATTCTTGGGAGGGAGTTTGCCGCTGCGAAATGTTACCGTGATGATATCCCGACGCGGCAAGGCGTGGGGGAAACTTAGCTTTTATCAGGTGGGCAGTGGTAAAGTTGTAGCAAGTCTGAGGGCGGTCAAGAGAGACTTCAGAGCCTTGGAACGATTGGTTAAGGGAGCAGGAACACAAGCAGTGTTCTATTCTGGCCTTCCAATCACAGGGAATGAAATAGGAAGAAATTGGTGTTACAGGCAGAATTTTGGTTATTTGGTGGTGGGTCAATCTACACAACAACCATGCTTGCTGGCAATAGACGGGATACATCTGTTTTGAAGGAGGAAACTACTTTTACAAGAGTTAGTAGGACTCACTGGAGTAGTTCTAGACCAGATGTGAAGGGGAAAAGAGATAAAACCAGGCTGCCTAGAGAAAAGTTTGGGGGAGGCATGAATTTGAGGGACGGAGGTCCAGAGAGTGGTGGTGAGTAGATTTAAATCCATCTGGCAGCTGGTTGCTAGTGGTGTTCCTCAGGGCTTAGTGTTTGTGCCAGTCCTGTTTCATAACTTTACCAATGATCTTGATGAAGGGATCGTGTTCACCCTCAGTTTGTAGGTGACACCAAGTTGGGTGGGAGTGTTGGTCTGCTGAAGGGCAGGAAGGCTCTGCAGAGCGATTTGGACAGGTTGGATGGCCAAGGGCCAGCTCCTACACTTGGGTGACAACAACCCCATGCAGAGCTACAGGCTGGGGCAGAGTGGCTGCAATGGGACCCAGTGGGAAAGGACGGGGGGTGCTGGGCAGCAGCAGCTGAGCATGAGCCACTGTGAGCCCAGGTGGGCAGGAAGGCCAGGGGCATCCTGGCCTGTGTCAGCAATAGAGTGGCCAGCAGGAGCAGGGCAGGGATTGTCCCCCTGTACTCAGCACTGGTGAAGCCACACTTCAAAATCCTGTGTGCAGCTCTGGGCCCCTCACTGCAAGAAAGAAATTGAGAGGCTGGAGGGTGTCCAGACAAGGGCAGTGGAGGGTCTAGAACACAAGTCCCATGAGAAATGGCTGAGGGAGCTGGGGTGATTTAGCCTAGAGAAAAGGAGGCTGAGGGGAAACATTATTGCTTTCTACAGTTGCCTTGAAAGGAGGTTGTAGCAAGGTGGGGGTTGATCTCATCTGCAAGTAACAAGCGATAGACAAGAGGAAATGGCCTCAAGTTGTGCCAGAGGAGTTTTAGGTTGGATATTAGAAAAATTTCTTCACTGAAAGGGTTATCAAACGTTGGGACAGGCTGCCGGGGGCAGTGGGGCAGCATCACCATCCCTGGAGGTACTTAAAAGATGTGTGCAGGTGGCACTTAGGGACGTGGTTTAGCACTTGGCAGTGTTGGGTTAATGAATGGACGTGCTGATCTTTGAGGTCTTTTCCAACATTAATGATTCTGTGGTTTTGTAATTCAGTGCCTCCATTTCTTCCTCATTAAGGAAAAAAAACCACCAAAACATCAGTGAAATATCTTTGCATTAAGCCAAATAAATTATTCTCTACTTCCAGTTTTTATAAATTTTCAGTTAGTGTCAAACCAAAACTAGTTAAATAACTTGCCTGAGGTCACTGTTAATAGCTGCCTGAGCAATCTGTGACAAAGACAGAAATAAATTGTACTATCTATATGCACGCTAATCTGTGTGATCATCTTGCCTCTTGCTTTCTATTCACAGCATTTTTATGAACATAATAGCTATTTACTTTGTTGACAGAATCAGTAGTTTCCTGAATAAACCAGAGAGTCACCTGAGACGCAAGGATGTTGGAAGAAGATATGGAGGTGGCCATCAAGGTGGTAGTAGTAGGAAATGGAGCTGTTGGAAAGTCCAGTATGATTCAGCGATATTGCAAAGGGATTTTTACAAAAGACTACAAGAAAACTATTGGTGTAGATTTCCTGGAAAGACAGATCCAGTATGTATTAAACAGATGACATACTATTGATTTTTACCTCTCTCTCTATTTCTTTTTTCTGTTGTAATCCTGAAATCTATGAAGGCTTGGAAAACAAGGCCTGCTGTTTTTGAAGCACACTAAAAGGAGTTGTTTTCTCTCTTGCACTGTGGGTTAAAGTTATATCCTTTATTCTTCATCCAGAATTTAAAATTATGAATAAAATCTGGAATATCTGCCATACCAGGCTCTTTGACAAGTTTGCTTTGTATTCTACCACCAGTTGATTTTTTTTTTTTTGTGATTTCTTGTGAAGAAGTGAAACTGCTTATGATAAAAGAATTACACAATTTTATTAGCCAATATAGAAAAAAATTACTATGAAAAAATTAGTTAGTGTCTTTATGCAGTATAAACAGGTAATACCCTATTATGTTTGGTAAAGTGGAAAATCTTATGATAATGAGAAGTAAGAAAATTCTGTAAATTCTGCAAGCTGATGAAAAAGGCAAAAGCATCATTCTTCAGGCACCTAAGTTTTATTTTGATGCCTGTCATATTTTTCATTTTAGAGAGAAATGTAGAGGAAGAAGAGGAAAGGAAGAGGAAAATGTAATACAGATTGTCTATAAAGAACATATAATGTAGTTGAGGGATTATTGCCATAGTATGCTGTGAAGGTAAATGAATATTAATAATAAGTTACATTATGATTAAATCATGTTAATTTTGATTTGGATGACTCTTACAGTGTAGAAACAGAAGTATTTCCATGGCATTTGCTTTGATTTGTTCCTGTTACTGTACTGACCACAAAACTGTCTTGTTTATTTCAGAGTTAACGGTGAAGATGTCAGGCTAATGTTATGGGACACTGCAGGTCAAGAGGAATTTGATGCAATAACTAAGGCCTACTATAGAGGTGAAAATACCATGTTTGTTGTTTGGTAGTTGGGGTTTTCTTGGTCTGCACATCTCTAAAATATTTTCATATCTTTGTATTAAGAATTGTAGTTATTTCATGTGTGTGCAAAGCATGTTTAGTTCAGCTTTTTCAATTCTTAAGTATTTTTTCTCTTTGTGCAAGTTCCTTGTCTTAATTATGTCCACTTTATGCAGTAGTGCCCTTTGGAAAACATTGAATGAAATGAGACAAATGTCTGCACAGAAGGTGGACAATGTAGACATTCAAACAATCAGATGCAAGTGTATATTTTCCCTCTAAAAGTGTTTCATTACTTCTGTGAGACACATATTTGTAAATATTCCAAAAACTCTAGATGAGGCTCACAGTAATTAATCCAAGTGGGGAAACTCCACCAGTCATCCTAGAAGGACAGTTCACAGGGCACAAGAGTTCTTTTGCTAGTACAGTCTGCCTCGAATACATTGAAACAAGAGCAGTAACAAAAGTGTATTTACTTCATAAAATAAACTGTATTATTTGTAGGCATGTTATCCATTTAACCAGTTACAAATTGCATACTTAAGCTTTCTTACTTATAATTTAACAATGGTTCTGTAAATATTTCTCTGGTTTTGTTTAATGGGAGAGATACAAATGAATTGGCAAAGATTCCACTGTTTAGTTCTTGCAAACTAATTATCTGAGATGGGGAGAAAATATACTGCTATGGTATAAAATTACCTCATGTGGAGATAAAATAATGATGATGCCAAGCTGTTTCAGGGTGTTACAGTCTTATGATCGTTTTATGTTTCATAGTCAGTTTGCTAATAGGTGGGTTTTTTGGTGATACTTCTTGTTGTTGCCTGTGATTGATGATTACTATTTCCTCAGAAAAAGATCTTGTCATGTGGAAATAAATAATTTACAGCTGACAAGTTGAGCAAACGAATTTTGGATGGTCATAGTTGATTCTCTTGGAGCTCCCTTTTCACTGTCCTGGCCTTTGGTCCTCTTGTGTGCTTTGCTCTCCCTAGCTGTTTCAAGCCGAAGACTTTTTCTTCTAATTACTGGGACTGATAGGTTAGAACATGGAGCCTTGAGAAGAACTCAGGACTGCACCTACTGGCCTCACTTACCACAAGTAACCTGCTGATTTAAAAACAAAATTAAAAATTTGCATGAAGATCTTGAAATCTTGGTTATGACTCAAGCCCAGTGCAGTGCTGTTAGATCTCTTCCTTGGAGTTCTTTGTACAGAAGTTCTTCCAGCACAGTCAGCCTGTACACATTGTAGCAGCATGATGGGTGTACAATAAATAGTTCAAGGTGTCAGATACAGAGGCTGCTCTACACTAGACTTTGACTCATGAAGGACAAGGAAATCGGAAGAGCCTGGAGTGCAATTTTGGCCTAGCTTCAGCAATCACACTATTATAGAAGCAAAAAGTCAAGCTTACTTTGGAAATGCCAGGCTTTTATTGTTAATCAGGGGAGGACACCTCTAAGATAGGTCAGATAGATGCTGGCTTGATGGAGAAGGAAGACTTGCACACCAGATGATGAACAACAAGTCTCAAAAGTTTATTGGATAGGCACACACATTTATAGCAGTGTTAATAAGGCTAATGCATATTGCAAAAATTGAGCTCATCATTGGTTAGTCATTTATCAGTCAACTACATCTAGAGTTTACATTCTTCTGTTCACCTTTTTAAGGTTTCTTCTATCGTTCCTTCATTCTTGCTAGCTAACGAGCCTCTCCCACAACCTCAAGTTTCGGCAAGGGCACAGTGACCTTGCCGCTTTTATCCTCGTCTCCTTCTTGCTTCCAGCATGATCCTTGTTAGCTAGCTAACTAACTACAAAATCCTCTACATTTCCCCTGTTTGTATCTCAGGCAGATTAATCTGGCTGTGGCCCTTATCGAGGAGCCAGCTTGTTACAAAGCTCTCAACACTGGCTGTTAATTTAATGTTGCTTCTCCCACAGGTCACTGTCCCACTACCATTGCACTAGGGTTTATGCATTCCCCTGGGACATTGTGTATTGTCAGTTCTTCAGTGCTCACACATGAATGCTTCAGAGCCTGGCTATGAGTGTTTCTCGTCCAGGGATCAAATTCATTCTCTTGCAGAGAAAGAGAATTGGAGATGACAGTGGATTTGTTGTGTGCTTTCCTATATGCAGGCAAGTGTGTGCAGCCAGTGTAGTTGCATGCCCACAATCACACAGTGCAAGGAGTACAGCAGCCTAAATTCAGAGCTGAAGGAAGCACTGTATATATTTAATCATTTATTTTTTGTATTGTCCCATGCATCTTCTCAGCAGTTTCTATGTGATTGAAGTCAAATGTTTCTCAAAGCAGTATTTGATCATTTCTTTGTGCATGTATCTTCTTCCTTCTGCTACCACTGGTGTAGCTTGAAGATCCTTGCTAGGTTTTTGATGGAAAACAGACATCTTGCTCATTAGTGTGTTACTCAGTTGCTGATTAGTCAAATTGTCAGGATCCTCATTTTGTTGCAAAATAGTTCATTCTTCATAATCAAGCCTTCATAGGATTGCTTTCGTTTGCATTTGTAATTTTTGTCTGTAGCAAATATGATAATGGAAGGCCCTAGTACAGTTATGTTAGATACTGTTAAGGAGACATTAAATCCTGTGAGCCTGTTAAAGACAGCCAGGATCCACAGAAGTTAAAACATCAGCAGTAAGTAAGAATTTCTAGATGATGATACTGGATTTTGATCTCAGTGTGAGATTGAACAAATCACCATCAGTTTTATAGGGAATATGTGCTTTCTGTCGTAGTCTGGAAAAGCTGAGGCAAAGTAGAGTGAAATGAGTAGGGTCAGATATAAAGCCCTGTGAGAGTCCTCTCATGGCAAGGAATTTCCTTACACTTTCTATTACAAAGGCTTTGTTCCATTATGAAAGGAAAAAAGATAATGGTTATGTAGTCTGTGGGGATAGGATAGTCTGCTGAGACCAGTTCAGCTGACAAGCTCATGCTTTACTTGAATTAAGTAGCACTAGTCTCTACATTTTTTTCTGAATTGCTCTAGGTATAAATATTATGTCAGTGATTCTGCAGGCGTTTGAATCATTTTAAAATATAGAGGAAAAATCAATGCAGTAATTGCACACAATGTCATTTTCTTCAGTACTTTAAAGTAGCTTTTTGGAACAGCTTCTTACAAAGGAACTTGAATTTAAAATATTCATAACATCCTGAGCTGTTATGCTCCTGTTTGAACTCTCCTGGGCCTTTGCTGCTGGTGCCTGTTGTTGTACACAATCTGTTGTACGACAGAGGTGGTGTAGGACTCCATTAGCCGTGGATGACTGAGATAGTAATGTTACTGATTCTTGAATACTGTCAGTGCCTGCATAAAAAAGGTGTTTGTGTGGCTAAATTCTAGGGTTTGTCTTCTTTTTTCCTCCTTAGAACTCTTAGATGGATATTATAATTTCTTAAATTGTTTATGTTTTCAATAAAAATACTGAGTGTTTAGCAGATTTCTTGAAGTGAAAAGAATTTGCATATTAAAATCTCTGCCCTGCAGTACCTTCTGTTGACCTCTGTTGCTATACTAACTTCTGCACCCTACTGAAGCATACTTCAGAAAGATCAAACTTGATACTGTTTTGCATTGAACCTGAAAGGAAAACTACTTTTGTCTTCACTTCTTAAATAAGCATATTACAGAGTTATTGGGTTAGTTAAGTCTGACACAATCCAGTGATTGAAAACTTTGGCAGATGTTTGGAAATACACGATAACATGAGTGTATAGAATTTGTCTTTGTTGGTGACACTTTGTTATTTGTGGTAAAAATCTTGAAGGTCCTCAAAAATACTTCAGTTTGATTCTTTATTAAAGCTTGTAATAATCTTTGTTGGTGACACTTTGTTTTACTGTTATTTGTGGTAAAAATCTTGAAGGTCCTCAAAAATATTTCAGTTTGATTCTTTATTAAAGCTTGTAATATAATTCCCTTTTGAAACTAATATGGGCAAGCTGAGGTATTTTTACTGTCCTTGGCCACTGCATTCTACCTGTACTATATGTAAATTGAATAAAGTCTGATGTAGTATGCTAGCTTCTCTTTACCTACAACATGCCAGGGCTTTTCCCTCTAAATTTACTGTTACTTGTGGTAACATTCAGAAGGAATGGGTGGAAGGAGAAATATGAAGTCTAGGTGTTCTAGTCTGGCAACTTCACAAAGGATTTCTTGGTCTTGAAACTAAACAAAGTGATGTTTACAGATCGTGGGAGTATTTTAATAAATGCTCTCATCTCCATTAAGCTACTTTGTGAGATAATAGGCAAATGCAAACTAACCTGCTTTGGAAACAATAATGAATTTTACACCTCTGTCACAGGAATTGCATCAGAATAATTGCATACTTCAGAGTACAGTGTGGACAGTAGGGAAAAAACCAGAGTTTTACAGCACAAATAATAGGGGAAATTATGGAAGGCTACATTGCTGCTTTTTACTGGTAGAGATTCAGTTGAAGTTCATAGGGCAGTTCTTATTGTTTTGTGTAAAACCATACCAGAAGGGTCTTAATGTGCATATGGAAGAATGTTAAAGAGCATAGCAAATCCTTCTGAAAATAGACTCTGAACTTGGCTTTTAAAAAGTTAAATAAAAGCAAACTTGTGTGCTTTGTGCCAGAGAAATAGAAAGATAAACAGAGTACAGGAATCAGGGATACTTTGTGAAACTCAGGGGTAAAATTCATACTGATGAAAAATTTTTCATGCTATATGGTATCAATGGGAGATGTTCACCACAGGATTATGCTAAAGTCTCAAAAACTCTTGCTATCTATTCCTTTCATACTCTGTTACTAAACAACTAGTACATTGAAGGCATATAAATAATGAAGTGTGCAAAGAAAAGCAGTTTCTGAAGAAAAACAGGGCTACTGGACAGTCAAAAGACCACACACCACTATTTCAGCTGTGGAGGTACCTTCTCAGTATCCATGGAGTTTAACTATTGTTTATTTACAAAACTGTAACAAAAGGTTTTATATACTTTATCATAGTGCTCTGATAGAATTATTAGACTATCTGACAGTATTAATTAGAAACACACTTATTTTCCCCAAAAAGCTACTAACAATTTACTTGAAATAATTACAACTTCATCTGAAAACTTTTTAAAGTTTTCTGCTTTTCAGAATCCAGATTATTGTACCACAAGAATAATGTGAAATGTGCTCTACAGATGCTGCACACAGGAAAAAATCTGCCTTCTGGCCTCTGCAAATGTGTCTGTAAAACAGCAATAAATGAACCTCCCCTTCCCTTTTTCCAGCCTTTCCAGACCTCCTCCTGTTCCTTCCCCCTGCATATATTCAATATTCTGGAATTAGCTTTAAAGGTAACAGACCTATAGTCGTCATAAAGATGGCTGTAATGATCAAAATAATATGGCAATTAATTTTTTTGGGAATCTGTGACCAGTGGTTTGACACAAGCTGGTAGTAAAAGTGCATGTTTGTGGGAAAAACTTTTAAAATCCCTCATATTTTAAATACATTACAGTTTTTTCCTATTGTTTATTGGCTAATTTGTGTGTATATGTATTTGTAATTTATTTGTATATTTCTAGGAGCCCAGGCTTGTGTTCTTGTGTTTTCTACAACTGACAGAGAGTCCTTCCAAGCAATCCCTACCTGGAAGCAAAAAGTTGTGGCTGAAGTTGGAGACATTCCTACAGTTCTTGTGCAGAATAAGATTGATCTTCTTGATGACTCTTGCATAAAGAAGTAGGAGTTCTATTGTACTACTTTTAAAGATCAGTAGGTGCCTCCTGTATACACAAGTTTTAAAAAAAGAAGTCTGTGGGAGTTTCTGGTGAAGACTTAGAGTGTCTGGGTTGCCCCACCTGTGTCCTGCATCTAGACGTGCCCTAGAAGCACACGGTGTGGGTGTTGCTGCATGAGTGTAGACACTTGGGCAGATGTGCTGCAAGGCTAGGAGCTTTCTGCTTATTTCATGCTGCATCCTGAAGCCAAAAGTAAGAGAAGAAAGACATGAAAAGATTGGTTGTAGCATAATATGATTTGCACCCTTTTTTTTTTCCCCTAAAAATCTAAAACTATAGATTTTCTCTCCTGTTAAATTTCAGTTACTTTTAAACTGTGCTGTGCGCCACTGAAGGCACATTGTCTGTTTGCCTAGTGAATGCTTGCTAATATTCTTTGCTTTCTTTAATTTGTTTTTTATTATTCATTTTTATCAAAACATTGTGACTCTATAGAAGTACGTATGTGGTAATATTCTCAAACTGCATGGTTCTGAATCTTCCTTGCTGTATTTTTCTTTACAGATTTTATTGTCAATTCATTCTGTCCTGTTGTATGTGACCAATTTCCTTCTTGTCATAAAATCAGCTTAACAAATGTGTTTATTTACCACTGCATTTCATGTAGAAAATAGTGCATGATCAAGTTGATCATTCTCCACTTCTTCAATTTCTGTCATCTTCCTAAGATATTTAAATTATTTCTTCTTTTTTTTTGTTGTTTCCTGCACTGGCTTTCTTTGTTGTCTGTTTGCTATCATTGATGGCATAAATCAGCTTCTACTTCTTCTGCAAAGAATTCTGAGGATTTTTCAAAGGAAAAGCAAAATTGCATTTGAACTCCTCCTTTATTCATGGTATGTCACTTAGGTTTGGTTCTCAGAATACTCTGCCTCAGTAATATAATTTTTCTGATGATTTGATTCTCCTTAGGGAAGTATTCATAAGTTTCTTAAAGTTTAACATAAGTTCTTTTTCGCTTCACAGAAAAAAGTAATTCTTGATTTCATCTGTGCACTCATCTGGTTGCATAGCATACTGCTTCATTAAGATATGCTTAGGGATTAATTTTTGTTGTTGTTTAGAGTTTGCACTGATGGTGCTGTTAATTACAGCCTCCTTCCTTTTGGTTTCACCAACACACTTCTTTGAACCCTTGGGAAGTTTTATTTAATGAAGTCAACAAACACTGGAAAGAACTCCTTTGAGTCATAAAGAAACTGCATGTAAAATACCTTCTTTTTGTAGTGGAGATACTGTAAAGAAATTAAGGATTAGGTATTTTTTTACTGTCTTGAATTTCTCAACTCACTTTGCCATGTTTAACATAAAAGGAAGCATTTTGTTTATAAGAATAAATGCCGACAAATGAACCAAATAAGGACTTACAAAGCCACCTTGTGTTGTGCAGTGAGGAGGCAGAAGCGCTGGCCAAGAAGCTGAAGGTGAGGTTCTACCGAGCGTCGGTGAAGGAAGATCTGAACGTGAGCGAAGGTAGGCGGTGCCGCGGGAGGCGGGTCCGGCCCTGCCGCCGCTCGGTGCCATCCCCCGGGCGGGAGCCCGCTGGTACCGACACGTCCTCGCGTGCTGCTGGCAACCCTCTTTGTATTCCATAGCAGCACGCCTTAAACACAGCTGAAATTGCCTGCTGGCAGTGGGTTAGGCCCATCGCTTTGTGCACGTCTTTCTCTTCCACAAGCACACACAGCTGCGAGGTTCACAAGTGCCACTGTGTTAAGGCTCCTTGGTCCTGATGACTGTCAGTAAGCATGAGCTTTTAAAACAAATACACATAGGAGAAGCTCAATTATTGCAATGTAAAAATTGTTGAACAGATTCTTTTGTGATTGTTAATAGCTAATAAGTAATTGATAGAATCGATTATTTTATATTTTAGTCATATTTAAATAAAGTACATTAAAAGATTGCATCTCCTGCAGTGTTTTGTCTACTGGTGATATTTGATTAGTTCCTAAGTACCACTTTTAATGTACTTAATTTCATAAGAGTAATGTTAAAATTTTGAGTCTCTGTCTTTTGTGGGCTGGGTTTGAATAATCATATATTCTTGTTTAATTAGTCCTAATGATATATTCTTGTTTAATTAGCCAAGATTAATAGTAAACTCCCTGTTTCTTCTCTATTAACATCATTCACCATGGGAAAAATTTGGAAGAGAAAATGTAAAACTCTTTTGTATCATTTTTAAATGAGTTTAATTACAAATGTAAATAATCATAACACATCTATGTTCTGAAAATTCTGCTTTAGTTGTATATTTTTTCAGATTCCCTAGGTCAACTTTATATACACCAACAGAAATGAGGGTAGCATTAGTTAATTAGAAAAACCTTGTTGCCAGCTTCTATTAATCGACTTATTTTACGTGACTACTGTTTTTTTAAGGCTTCTTGCATATGTATATATATATATTAAATTCCTACATAACTGTAACAAGTTCCAACTTGCATTAATTGAAACATTTGGCAATATGTGTGTGCCATTTTTTTTTTATAAGAGCATTGAGATATTTCTGTGCAGGTCTTCAGTACTGCGAACTGTAAGAGCTGGGCAGACATTGGAGTGACCTGGATTCTGCCCAGGCACACAGGCTTGCCCAGAATCACTCACCAGGTTGTGCTAAACCTGGGGTGTGAAATGCACTTTTGTCACCATGCAGAATTTTGATATAATGGCATTATGATGATGATGATTTTTATTAAGCATTCTGTGATATACCTTTTTTCTTTTTTAACTTTCCAGTTTTTAAGTATTTGGCTGATAAATATCTTCAAAAGCTCAAGCAACAAACAGCAGAGGATTCAGAAGTAGTACATACAACCAGTAACAAGATTGGTATGTATACTATAATAAAAAAACCCCTAGAAACAGTATTTTGTGCCATCAAAGCTTGTGGTCTCATCTGTTTCCTTATGGAATTAATACAAGGTGAATCAGAGTCTAATTATTACCTGCCTATCTTAGGATGTCATCTCTTTCTGTAAAATAACTTTGTGACTCTTTGAAATTATAAGATGTTCAAACTGATACACAAAAGTTTCTAGCTAATGCTTAGCAAGTGCCCTTTTACTAAATTCGTTTAAACAAGATTGTGCAAGGATTTGAGAAGGATGCTTGTTGGGTCTTTTTAATCTAATTAGCATGACATAGTGTTGCTCATCTCTGTGTGGACTTATAAGACTCATGGGGAAAGAATCTGGCATGTAATCACAAGGTGTTTGTAAGCTGCCTTTTGTAAGGAAACACTGAACTTCTGTAGTTCTTCTTTAAAGCATTTCTGAGTCAGGTAAATTTTTTCCATACAGTGCTCCCTTTTTATTCTGGCCTTTTACTTACCTTTATATCAACAAAGTTTCTGAATTTTAAATCACCATATTTTTCTTCTATTATGTTACTCAACTAACCACAACTTTGTGCAGTTAGTAACATTCATATACAGATGAGTGCATATGCTGCCCTTCAATTACACAGATGCATGCTAGCTTTAGATACTGCCTGGCTAGTAATTGCAACTGCCTCTACTTCCAATTTAGCTGCACAATTGACTCAAAATAGATTTAAAAACTGGTGTATACATTTGAGGTGCTCTGCTATGACTTAGCAGGTGTTGCATCTAAAGTGTTCATGTATTATGCTGCAAGCAGTAAACAAATACAAATACTTCTCTTGTCTGAATTCTGTAGGTGTTTTTAATACAACTGGTGGAAGTCACTCCAACCAGAATTCTAGCACTCTTAATGGTGGAGATGTCATCAACCTTAAACCCAACAAACAGAGGACCAAGAAAAACAGAAGTCCTTTTAGCAACTGCAGTATACCTTAGACCATTTTTGGAGGAAATTAAGCAACTCAGAGAATTGGATGAAGTTGTGCAATTGAACACAGAATAAAGCCAGCTGTAGAGGTATTTTTACCGGTGCTTAAAAATCTTGTGCCTCCTAGACAGAGGGTGGATTTTGATGAACTTGCTGATGCCGTGGGTTTGTTGTGTGGCGTGAGACACCTGGTGGCGACACACAGAACCGTGGCTGCCTCCTGCACTTTGTACAGAGTAGGTGAGCTTTTCCTTTCTCAAGGAATTACTTACAGAGCTATGAACTAGGTATTGCTGAATTGCAAAGTACGTTCAATATAAGGATAATACTTACACGTATAGGTACGGACTGTAACTCTATGGCCCAAGGTAATGTAGCAACCTTGCAACTAAATTTCAAAGAAAATACTAGAATTGGTTAGTCAGGACACTAACAAGATAAATGAAGAGCAAAAAAACACTACTTCGTTTTATGCCTGACCATATTAGTATTCTGCCAGGATTCTCTCAGTCCTGTATTATATATCTGTGTGTGCTAAGGAATATATGTCAACATTTGGGATGAATATCTAGGCTTGGTTCCAATGTGTACGTTACTTGGAGATCAGCTAATGATCATCAAATAGCATCTTCTAATTGTCCTTTAAAAATGTTGCATTTCAAAAGAGGCTTTCCAAGCTGCCACTGTGTATGTTTAACTTGCTGTACTTTGGGCCTAAAAGCTTAGATTTAAAAATGTGTGGTGCCAAAAATGCTCCTTTTTACCTAATGCTATGCTACAGATGTTTTGTAAGTTTGTTTTTCTCAGTCTTAGCAGGTTGAACAAATAACACTAATAGCTATTCAGAAGGAACATATAATCATATTCTTGTTCAAATTTGATTGTTGTATCCTGTGTCATCTTTGTAACACCACTTTGAAAATTCCTTTTTCAAAAGTATTTATCTTATTTGAAATTTTTCATAGATACCGTCAACTAAGTTACAGGGATCCAAAAAACTGCAGCTGATTATATTAGGGAGGCATTATCAAATGTTGTCTCAGATTTAAAGTTAAGGAAATCTAATTCTGCAAGATGAGAGACATGGCAAAAAAATTTCAGAGTGCTTCAGTAATTTTACAGAACTGATTTAGACGTTTAGGAGCCCAAATTTAGCTTCAAGGTTATTTGGGCTAAGGCTCCTAAATCACTAAGGTGCTTTTAAAAATGCTAAGCAAGATACCTTTTATTTCGCAAAAATGAACACTTTATAATCCTCTTCAAGAGCATGTATGCCTTTTAAAAACTATCCATTTTGTTTACATGATTTTGTATGGTATGATATAATTTTAACTTTCTAAGATTTCTACAAGTCTGCCAGTGACAAATGCAAAATCTGCTGCTTAAAAAAATCAGAGTTTTAATAGTTTTATAAATGGTGTATGAGAATGAAAATTGGTTGAGTGATCCTGTATATTTTTGAAGGAAGGACTTTTCACTATGTGAATTCATGTAGGAAGCTTGACTGACTTTGTTTCTGAGTCAATGAGTATGAAAACTGAAATGTATTCTTATTCCCACTGTCTGCAGGGGAGAAGTGAGTGGCAAGTTATGCACAAACACTAAAGATCTCTGAACTCTGTATTTTATGTTTACTGTATTAGGCTTTCTGCAGAGTATTGCAGTTTCTTTGACAAGCTGTTAGAGATCTGTTGCTGGCAAGAAGGAGGGCACTCCATCCCTTTTTCTGTTGCAACAAAACTGTGTGTTCTTCACCGTAATGTTTCCTGTGTTTTCTATTGGATAAAGGCCTCTATTTTTTAACGAGTGCATTTAATCACTGTGTGTATAAATGGAGTCAAGTCCTATCTTTCTCAGCAGTTTAAGAAGTAAGAAGTAAGGTACTTGGGATAAGATAATTGAACATCATGGGGCCACCTCACAACTTAGGGGAGAGTGTACGCATGAAGAATTTTGACAACTGTTTTTAATATGGAAACTTTTACATTTCACTGTCTGTCTACAAGTTTCATGGGGTTTTATTCATTTTTCAAGAAAAACAAAGCCACAAAGTGTTTGAAGTATCTTTTTTTGCCTTGTTTGACTTGTACAGCGTATTGAAAAGTCTTTATTATGTATAATGACAATTTGCAAGATTTTATGTTATACCGTAGCACACTGTACAATTAGTACAGGTTGTTTGTATTTACAGTATGTCACTATAAACTACTGCTTTTAACAACTCTGCAGTCTTTTCATAGGTGGAGACTTGACAGACTTGATAGATTTAAGATATATTGAAATGTAGTACATATACTTTAATGTAGGAATAGTTACTTGAAGCATTGGGTAACAGTGAGTTTTCATTTTACTCCCACCCTAAATCTAAAGTGGATCTTTCTTTGTTGAGACCTTGCAGTGCTTGTTCTCTAATATGACTGAGATGGAAACTGCTCAAATTAACATCTTTCTGGGAAGTGCCCTGCATGTATGCTACTTGAAAATTTTGATTCTTTATTTTACTGGGCTTGGTGTGTTGGTGTAAACCAGATGACTTGCATATTGCAGGAACCCTTAAGTATTCACATCACTCTTCAGTGACTCTTCAGTGGCACTAACTTGTGCCTTTTGGAAGAAGAGACATGTCTAAATGGTGTCCCTCATGAATAATTTTTATTACAAACATTACTTCATTCTCCACTCAAAGTGTACTCATTAAAATATCATGTTTTAGTTAGCAAAACCTACTCTTTGCATCCCTGGGACTGTATGGTGGGTAAGGATGTGGCTCTGTTATGTCCATGGTGCCCAGGATTAAGAGCAAGAGATTCTCATGCCACACGACACAAATTTCATTGCACTCCTGTATATTCCTTTTATATCTCTTGAATAGCTCGTTGGCTGTATTATCTGGATCTTGCTACAATTCTTCGCCCTTGGCTGATAAAGCTACCACTAGCAGGAAACTTCAGTGATTGTTAATGCCTTAGTGAAATAGGGATTCACTAAAGAGTATGACACTACAGCCTTGTCACTTCTGTGTTGTATCCATTCAGTGAATGGGTGTTCTCCCAGTACGTGGGGCATCGTTAGATGCAAAGCAGTAATGCTAGGGATGTATTTCCAGCTGGAAATAGCAAATCTCAAAGTTGTATGACTGATCACAATAATTTCTGTGCTTGTCTGTGTGTGGTTAATTTAAAAAAGACTTCAAATATTCCAATTAGGGCAGTTTTGAAGCTTTCTTACTTTCAGTGTTTCTTAAGGCAACACTTTTGTAGTCAAAATTCCTGAATTACCACACTGTCAGTTTGATTTCCTGTTTAGTTTTTATGCTTCAGTAAAATATAACTTTTTATTTTCTTCATTATTGAGCTGCAGCACATCTGACTTGAAGTTTTCCTTCGCAGCAGTCTGGTGGGTTGTGTGGGTTCCATGCACAAGACTCAGCAAGGCTGCCCTTGCAGCTGTTCATGCACCCTTCAGGCTGAGAGCTCCAGGTGTTAACAGGTGAATGATGTGCCCTTCTCTGTGGGAGTTCATCGTGCAGCGAGCCAACACACATGCTGCTCCATTCCAGTGACACTATCTGAGCCCCTGCTGCTTTTCTAAGTGTAGTCATAGACCTCTGGTAGAAGTTGCAGTACCTGAACACTAATTGTACCAAAATGAGAGTGCAAGGATGGTCCAGCAAGCTCGAATTCATCAAAATGCCCTTGCCATCTTTTTGTAGGAAGCAAAAGTTGTGCACATCTTCTTTCTAATGCACAAATAGTATTGAGAGAAGAAAATAATTCTCTGTTAAATATGGCATACAAGCAGATAGTCAAAATTATAGAATGAAAACACAGCAATGCTTAGATTTAAGATGAAAGGTGCTATAATGGAATAAGAGAAACCTGCTAGTGTTCCATGTTGAAGTGTTCTATAGGAGTCATCTCAAAGCCAGGTAAGTCCTAGTACTGAACTGGGCTCATTCTCAGGTTTCTAGTAGAAGGGTAATAATGATAAATCACTAAAGTTGATGAGAAAAATTAAAAATTACTGTGGACCAGGAGAAACACCACTCTCATTTGGAGGATTAAGATGCATTGTTACTAATGGCTTAAATGTAACTTACTAAAAGAGGAAATGTACGTAACTGGTTTTATCACCATCATGATCTCAAGTAAAGGTAAGAGATTTGTAGAAAAAAAAGTCAACATATCATCAAACATACCAAATCCTCAATCAGAAGAATCAGTGTTTAAAACTGAGTATCTTGTGTACGCTGTTCTGTAAAATCCCTACAAATTAATTCTGCTGTTCTCTTGTAAGTGACACTAGTTGCATCATGCAACGTAAAATGTTTGTTTGCTTATTGTTTGGTCTGATATAAGTCACTATTTTTGTGGTTATATTAAATTGTCAGTATATTAAATTTCAAAAATTGCTGCAACTACAAGCTGTGCAACCTCAATCTGATTGAGAAACATGTGCTTGATTCATGGGTGTGTGTTGCCAACAGCTGGGATCAAAGGCAGCACATGAGAGCACTGGAAGGAACAAGTGTGGATGCCCCAGACAAATAGAAATGGTGTTTCTCAGCTCTTGCCTCTGATTTCTTTACCTCATGGTTGAAATACAAAATAGGGATTTTCTGCTCTTTCTGGTCATTTTGCTTTTTATGATTGGTCTGGCCAAGACAGTGACAAGGTTTAAGATTGTAGACACTGGAAGTGGCATTAAAGTATTATTAATATATCCAAGATGCCTGGTCCCTTTTCTGAAAATAAACAGGTAAATAGTCACTAGTGATTGTTGTTTGGGGGGTTTGCATTGTTTTGGTATTTTTTCTTTTTTTAGTAAAGCACAAATCAGCATTTGTGTCTGCCTCTTTACCCAGGTATCTGAAGAATATCAGAAGTAACATAGTCCTGCTTCCTCTTGCATGCAGTTTTGAATACAGAAAATCAGTGTGTTTGCCAATTATTCCTTATCAGGGTGTTAAGCAGTGGTTTAGGCTCATTACAGAGGCATTGGACTAGATGACCTTCACCAGTCCCTTCTAACCCACCTCTTCTGCAATTCTGTGATAGCACAAATGCTATAAAAAATAAAAATGCTTTTAGGTATCAGTGCAAAAAAAAGAGGATCTAAGAGAGAAAACAAAAAGGCTTTTTGCCTGAATAACCTTATAGTGGCCTTAAAAACCCAAATATTGAATGAATATTCTAAGAAACAAGAGGCTATCTTCAACTTAAGTATTGCACAGCACAAGTTTTGAAAACAATGCAGGTCGTGTATTACTGTGAAGGGTTTTAATACTGTTGAACAGCTGGAAGATTTTTTTAAAGTGGAATTACAGAATTAATGCCACCAACTCTTAGAAACTTCTCACAATCTCAGAGCTGAAACTGGGACTGCATTCGAAGCACCCACCTGAAGTGCCATTTCTGCAAAGTAAAGGCAGTGACAGTGACCTCATAGCAGCTGGTTTCCAAGAAGCACAGCTCTTGAGTTTTCTTGCAGAGCCCCTGAGGCCACTCAAGGCATTTAAAACCACAGGGCTCCTGACTGTTGGCTGTGCAGGAGCCTGATGTGCAGGGTCTCACTGTGGGCTGGTCTCAGAGCATCCAGGTGTGACACTGCATTTGTAACACCCTAGGCACTGCCACCGAGGCAGCTGTGGTGGGTGGCATCACTCAGACCCTTGGGGCTCCCTTCAGCTGAGCTTTAAGTGCTGGTGGCTGAGCCAGAGAGCACCCTGCTCCCCTCCGGGCACCGCCAGCCTTGGGTGAAGTACTGCAAGACTGGCCAGGCTGCAGGGGGTGACAAAATTCCAGGCACACCCTAAAATCTGCAACTTTTGACCCACAGCCACAGAGCTCAGTGATGATGCACAGCTGTTACTGTGAGTGAGAGGGTGGAAGATAAAAAACAAACCAAAAGCCACTCACACAAAGAGGTGAGTAATGCTGGATGTACAAAGTACCATCCTACACAAGACACAAGCGCGGTGTTTGCCAGGTGAGAAGTCAAAATGTTTTGCTCTGTGGCTTCATAGATGATGCAAAAGTGGAGCAGTAGCTGATATACAATTCCCCTTCCTATTATCTTTTAAAAATACATACACAGCAATCTCAAAGCTACAATGAGCTTGTGGGACCAGAATGGTTCACCAGGCATGGAGGGCGGATTTTGAGAGTCAGGTCATTTGTAGCCTGGCTGGTAATCCCTGGGATACATGTGCTGCTTTTCACTTCCTCAGTCACAAACTGGGCAGTAGCTGTCTGTCTCTAGTACTGTGATCGGTTTATTCAAAATATTCAAAAAGTGCACAATTATAAATGGTAATGAGTAGGACACTGTGTTGTTTATGAAAATACCATAAATGGTTTATTAATTCTTTTGATTTATTGCCATGATTTTTCTTTTGTCCCCAAAAGTCTGGTTCACACACTACATATGCAGCAGAGAAAAGCTGAAATCTCATGACAGGACAAAACAACTTTAGTTTAAAAAACCCAGGAGAATGGAGAAAGGCTAGATTTTCAGTTTCTGTCAGTTCAGCAGAAGCACAATTACAATTTGCAATAGAGCAGTTACCGACTCTACAGAAGAACTGAGAGCATTCCTTATTGCCAAAAGAAACTGCCAATGCTACCAAAACCCATTAAATGCTTGCACCTCGCAATCAAAGATACTTTGGTGCGCGTGGATGCGTATATGCTTGTGTGCTCATACAGAGAATTCTTTTCTTGGCTTCTGGGTGCTTTTTTCGGGCACTTGCTCATCCTGTGGTTTGCCAGAAGTAGCCAGGAGGATACGTTAATCCTGTTTGCTGTTGCAAGACTGCCGAACAGATGATTTCTGATGCTCCAACAACGTGATGGACTTTTCAGAATTTTCCAAGTTTCTGAGCAGAGTCTCTAGGCGCCTTTTGATTTTCTTCTGATCCTCAATGGCACATCCGATGACCACAGACTGAAATTTCTGATCGATGGGTCCCGCTGGCACGTCGGACGTGCACGCGCCGTAAAGCGACATCAAGCGCATTTTGGCGTCTTCCAAATCATCGAGGAGTTTATTGACGATCTCATCGATCATCTTGGTGGCGTGCAGCAGGGATTCCTGCTGCTGCGCGTTGCGGATGGTTTCTACGGAAACCTCCACGGTCAGGGTTCGGCCCATCAGGCGATTAGCAGTCAAATTCAGTTCTTCTCTCTCACCTCAATTCAAAGCAAGAAAATATTCTTGGTTACAGGCAAATACTTTCCAGTCCAAATAGCTCATCAGGACATTCAAACTGCTATAACTTGGCAGTAAACATTCTTTTTTAAGTAAGTGACAATCAACAAGATTTCCAGAAGGCAGAAATGAGCTTTTTACATTTGCCCAAGTTATACTCATTTCATAGAAGCCAGTATCTGATTTGAAATGAGGCATTAAATGCTACTAAAATTGTAAGCAATGTTTTTCCACTGCTGTGTCACTTTAAAGCAAAACGTACAATATTATGAGGAAACACTCAGGAACAGAACTAGCTCATTAAGGACTTCTGTGCCTTTCTGAGGGAGGGATTTAGAATACCCCAGAAGGTCATAAAGACAAAACTAGATATAATAAGAGGCCATGAAAAAACTGGTTTTCTGTTTTCTGAAAGTATAGCTGCTTTTCAAAAATATGAAATGTAGGCTCTTGAAGAGCCAATAAACCAGCAATTTAAAGCACCTAATCATCAGGTTTAGGGAATATATTTGAAGCCATGAATCACACAACTACGACAATGACCTTAATCATCAGCTTCTTGCAGGCTGTATGCTTTGTAGCACTCATGCCTGTCCAGTAGTCAAAATCATTTTCAGCTATACTATCATCATCATCATCAATGACTCTCTCCCAGCAAAGCAATGTTAATCTTGATTTTGAAAATGTATCAGTGAACTGAGTATAGGCTTTCACATACACAGCAGTGACGTTCATGGTACTCCATCCACCTGAACAGCATGAATTTAGTCAAGAAGAGGAGATCTCAGGATAATGAGTAACACTTCAACAACCTCAGCTGGCTCCAATGCTGCACCCTTACCAGCAGCAGAATGCTGCTCACAAAGAGCTGCTCCCTTAAAAATGGGCTGATTAGACTTTGGCTCAGTTGGAGGGTACAGGAAAGCAGCTTCTCACCTTCACTGATGTGCCTCATATCCTGGCTGTTCTGTATATTGTGGATCATTTCAAGCAGAATTTCTTTCTCTTGCTCCATGGCAGATGCTGCATCACGGAAAGCCTCTACCCTGTATGTGGTTGAACCAAACAAAATGTTTAAATAAAAAAATAGCCGTTCACTTATATAGCTGCAAAGAACTCTTGTTTTAAACTTCGGCTTAGAGTAAGTGCAGTCAGTTCTTGCTTATCCATGAGACAGATTCTCTGACTTCATGATATTCTCTATCTTTTCAAGACTCAGTATAAATAAAAAAACCAAACAGATGGAGGGGCAAATGGAAACAACAGCAATTCATCTTTTATTTTACTGACAGTGCTGTTCTATCTTACTCTGTAGATAATCTGGATATGCAGAGCCTGATGGTACTACAGCCCCATAGCAGAAGTCCTGTAGCCAACTGGCAATTATTATCATCTGCCTAACTAGGAGAGAAAGGGACCAAGTCCCCACCAGGGAACTTGGCAGTGAGGGTGGCAGCTGCAGAGATGGAGGCAGCCAGGGGCCCTGGCTCCCTGTGCCACCGCCAGGCCAGCAGAACCCACAGAATCCACCTGCAAAGCAACAAACACTGCAGAAAAACTGCAACGCGCCAAACAAGCCCTTTCACAAAGGAGAAAGCCCTGTGAGCGGGACACAGGTCACACACTTCTATTAACTTTTATTAACATGACAGGGCTTTCCCCGACACAAATGGTGTGCCTTGGTCACTGGGAGAAGATGCTGGACTGCTTGCTCCCACTCTCACTGGTACTTTCCACGGAACGATGCTCACTGTGATTCACACAGGGAGGAAGCTTCTGTGGGAGCAGCTCCTGTTTCTGGGCTTGCAAGGAAGCAGGAAACTCAGTCCCTCCTGAAGCCAGACCCCTACTCCAGTCCCATTACTGTGCTGAAGCTGACATGTGAGCCTCACAGTGAGGACAAGGGGAAAGTCCATCAGAAACTGTAACTACTGGGTTTTGGTAAGGTGTGGTTCTGTGCCCACAGCCTGCTCTCCTTGTGGTATAAAGTGCAGACTCAGCTCACCATGGGCAATGTGAAAATGCCCCATAAGAAATCTGAGTCCAGTTTCTTACTTCATGTCTTATTCCCCACCACAATTTTAAAGAGGGGGCTTTTGCATTCAGCTGAATAATGGAAAAGAACACTGGAGAACTCTAAAGCAACACTTTACTTGACCTGATACAAAAAGGGAAATGTCCCACTCCCTTGGCTTTTCTCCGAGACTTGAGGGTAGGGGCTTCCAGAGGATTTTCCAACCTGGAACTGGTTACAAGAGTTGCACCAAAACCATCAGCTCTGCATTCACAGGCCGCACAGAAAAGCAACAGTATAATATGAACCCGGCTGATGGTTTGATATGCTTGCAATGCACAGCTCGGGAGGTCTGGCTGCATCACAAGAATCTCCATCTATCCTGAAATGTTTATGAAACCTGGCCAGAAAAGGGGAAACAAACCAGAACATTGTTAAGTCTCTTAGGTGCTCTACACCCTTCAACATTTCTGGGCGCTGCCCTGAGACAGCAGTGGCTTGTTGCTGTCTCTGCAGATGAGGGCGCGTCTCCTGGGACAGGAACGGAGCTGCTGCTCCTTCCTCACAGTCTGGCTCAAGGCAGGTAACTTCAGAAAAACAGCAGCAAGAGAAAAGAGGGTGAAAGCAGAAAAAAGGGAGCATTTGAGGATATAGTCACTCTTCACAAGCAGCCTGCTCACGAAATGATTCTGTTTTACAAAATATTTAACCTAATTTAGTCAGTGAAAGCACAGGCTTTAGGCCTTGCCTTTAATGTTTTTTTCTGAGGAGGAGTGGGAAAAGTTAATGCAATGCAAATTCATGCCAAGAGCAAATACTTTTAATTATTATTTTGGACTGGTTAGTAAGAGCAATGAGGCAGGTGGAGTCATTTCATACTTCAGATGTCTTCACTTTATAATTTAGGAAGTCTAGTAATATTTTCAAAATGCCTTGCCATGCCTTTTTAAAAAAACTAGTCACTGGAAAGTTGTAAATTAAAAATCTGACGTGCAGATTGTCAGTTTTGATAGTGTTTTAAAATCAGATTCTGGATATCATTGTACTGATGTAAAAACTGAAGTTCTGCCTTCAGTAGATGGATCAGCCCATGATTTCCACAGGCTTTGCTGGGTCCTAAGAAGAATGTGGAAAAGCTGCATTGCAGAGATACATCCTGAATTGGTACAGTTCTAAAGAGATGCCTAAAATATCACTGCTTCCAAAGGCCAGCTTGGTATGTAAGGCAGGACCTAAAAGCCAAACTGTCAGAATTAATGTTGCATACTGCAAAAAAAAAGAAAAATACAGTTCAGCAACTAGAGCTTTGATTGACATTAATTTACTAAAGGTAATGTAACCAAATCGGAAGAACTATTTTATTTGCAATAATTGCCACTTCAGAATTATTTTTACCATTTCCCAAACCACAATATAGAGTACCACACAACAGTGGGACGGGGTCATTTCAGAACAGTGCTCTAGTGGGGGTGGGGGGAAACCCAACAAAAAAAATGGAAACCAGTCACACCAACTTCAGAAAAATAATGTGTCAGGATCACACCATGCAGTCAGTTCTCATAACTTCTTTCCTAAAACGCATGGCTTCTTAACTTCACAGGTTTCTGTAAATCTTTCCTTTCCTTGTGTGGGGGACTAAAAAAAAAAAAACAGTTGGAAGATTTAAACCTCTAACAGAGGTGCCTGATGTAGGAAGGGGTGGGAACACAATCCAAGTCTCAAAAAAACAAAACAACCAACCAAAGCATAAAAGGCAAAGAAAATAGAACACAAAATAGTCATATTTATGCCCAGTTATCAATTATTTTGATGCAGAAGTACAGTCTTTTTTCCTTAGAGATGAAAACCTCCAATCATATTTTTACTTTGAACAATCCAAGTAAATTTGTTGCTTTGAATCTCAACTATATATTCCATCTATTACCTAACACTGAAAAAGACGTTCCTTACTTCTGATTTTCCCTGTTTGTGAGCAATTAGGTGAGCAATGCCTTTTTTTGCTACATACCATTTACATGAGCAGAGCATTCCCCTGAGAAACAGGTGGACCAGGCTGTGCTTTTGTTTCCAGATGAGAAACTTGACACCCGCTTTCTTAGGACAGCTGCAATAACCCTGTCCTTTAAACTACTGACTGACTTAAACAGCCCACTATTAAAGCCCACGGGCTGGAGGTTCAGATAAGTTTTCAAAGGAAATGAGAAACATCTGAGGATGGAACAGCTTTTTTTTTCCTGAAATGGAGCTAATCAGGCACACTGGAGGGAGACAAAACGGGGGGTTTCACCCTGGCATCCTCAGCTCTTCCAGCTGAGTGTCCTCTCCCAGGTAAGCAGTCCTGTGAACACTGAAATGAATGCTGGTGGAACATGATTGATCCAAACAAGATAAAAAGCACCAAATATGAAGATAAAAAATACCCAGCAAGAATCTGACTTACCTCATGTATCATCACACCTAAAAGTGTGTTTTCACTTAACACAACCAACAGAACGCAGTGACTCACAAACAGCCTCTGCTCTGCCTTCCAGCTGCTCCCGAGATGTCTTGGCACTCACGAAGGTCCGAGCCTTTACAAGGGGCAAACGTGCCACCTGCCCCCTGGCCACCCCTGCCTCGGGCACTCGCTCCCCAGCACTCCCTCCCAAACTGATTCCCCTTCCCTGCTCACTTTACATACAGCAGAAATCCCCTCTGCAAACACCTATCAGGGGAGGTACAAAAATACCCCATTACTGTTGGGAAAAAAGCTCTCCCAGTGGAAAGAAAGGGAGGAAAAGGAAGGCTGTTCAAACTGGAGCATTTTACAATGGCTTTAAACTGAAAGAGGGTAGACTTAGATTAGGTATCAGGAAGAAATTCTTCACTATGAGGATGGTGAGACACTGGAACAGGTTGCCCAGAGGTTGTGGACTCTCCATCCTTGGAGGTGTAAAAGGCCAGGTTGGATGGGACTTTGAGCCACCTGGTCTACTGAAAGGTGCCCCTGCCCACGTCAGGGGGCTGGAACTAGGTGACCTTTAAGGTCCCTCCTATCCCAAAACATTCTTTGATCCTGTGGTTTCCAGAGGGATGAAGCTTGCTTAAGAGCTCAGCTGACTTTAAGCAACTTGAGAACTGAGGATTGTTGAGGGTTTTAATTAAAGGCCGTAGTTCAGTTTGACAACTTTTCACTTATTGTATCTACAAGCAACATCTTGAGGGTCTATAGCAAAACCAAACAAGCTGGACAAGGAGAAAGATTGGAAGTTTCTCCTCCTGTCAAAATAAATTTGAAATGAAGCATGCTGATTAGTTGTGAATAGAAAAAAAAAAACAAAAACAAAAGCATAAGACTTGAGTGGCTTTTATCAAATTAGACTTTTTTTTCACTCATTACTATTCCACATTTGGAATTATGGCTGTCTGAAAGAACCACAGCAAACTAGGAAGTTTAATTGAGGGTTTAATTGCTGGCTAACCAAACTGTCTGCTTTGTTTCAGAGTCACTCAGCAAATCTAAAACACATTTTTGCATATTCTCATGCTAATTTTTGGATTATATATTCATCATACGCCTAGACCTGGATGTAAGCAGTGAGACTTGTTTGCAGACAGTGATTTTGTTTAGTCAAATTCAGAGAAGTCTGCAAAGGACTTCAAGGAGATTTAATCAAGCTAAGTGAAAGGCTAATATAACAGCACATCGAGTCCACTCCTGAATAATGCAAAGTAATGCAGGCAGAAAGGGGAAATAAAACTCCTGCATCCCACAGAGCTCTTTTAATTACAGGAAAGTCCTAGAAACGTTCTGGGTGGTTCTGTGAAAGCTGCTGATCAATATGCAGCTGTAATGAAGGAAAGGGTGTGTTGAAACAGTACCAGAGGAGGTGAATCAGTGGCATCCTGCACATCCATCCACCTCAGAAAGGACACTATGTAATTTAGCAGAGCTGAGAGGACAGGGAAGATGATTAAAGGCAAGGTATCATCTCTCATGAGGCCAAACTGGGGGAAAAAGTCAAATGGCATATAGGTAGGGAACGTCAAGTAGCAGAAAAAGTCAGGACATGTCTTGGCACAATAATGAAATTCACACAGCATGTACAATAACTTTGGAAAAACACACCTCAGCTGCAGAATGCAATGCTGTTCACATTTTATAGTGACACGTTTTAATACACCTCAGAGAGGAGGTGGACACAAACACAACAAGAACATCCACAGCTGAACCAGTAAGTGCACAGGGAGGCTTGGCAGACGAGAAGCCTCACACGCCAGCATACAGCACTGCAGCTTAAAGGCTAGCCAAAGTCTCCGAGAGCCTGAATGACACCACGTTTTATCCTCGGATTTCCCGCATCTTCTTATAAAACACCTGTCCGCAGGTGCGGGACAGGGGCGACAGGGTGGGACGACAGGCACGATGCTCGCACCCGCCGTGCCACAGCTCGCAGAGCCCATCCCGTCTGCGAAAGGCTCCCCGCACCCTGAGGGGCAACACATCTCTTCGCGCTTTCTCTGAAAAACGTCTACCTTCATACATTCCTATACATAATCCTATTTTCGTATATTTCCAGGCCACGCTAACTCATCTTAGAGCAGCAGCTCCCATTTTTAAACTTGGAGGAGAGCCCTTTTCCCCCGGTCCCCTCCAGAAGCCTCACACCGCCCCCCCCGCAGCCCGGCCGGGGCAAGGCTCCGCGCCCGCCGCCGGCCCGCGGTGCGAAGCCACCGGCTCGGGGCCAGCCGGCTCCCCGGCCCCCTCCCAGCGCCCGGCCCCGGCCCCACCTGAGCTCCAGCTGGTCCAGGTTCTCGAGCAGGCGGCTGGAGCGGTCGGCCATGGAGGTGGAGCGGTAGAAGCGGCCCCGGAGCTGCCCTCCCGACTGCTGCTGCTGCGGCTGCGGCTGCTGCTGCGCCCCCTCGCTGGCCTTGGCGCTGATCCTGGCCTGGGCCATCCCACCCGCCGCTGCCGCCGGCGGAACCTCGCTGCGGCCGCTCCCTCCCCGCGTCCCGCAGGCGGCGGCGGCGGCCGAATGCCGGCACCTCGCTCATGGCCAAAGAAGGAGCCGCCCCGCCGCCGGCCCCCGCGGCCACCCCGCCCCCGCGCCGGGCCCGCGGGCGCCGCCTCACGCAGCGCGGCGGGGCCGCCTCGCCTCGGCCGGGGGGCAACAGAATCACCGGACGGGCCAGGCTGGGAGGGACCACACTGGGTCAGCTGGTCCAACCTCCCTGCCCCAATCGAGTGAGGGAGACTCCACAACCTCTCTGGACAATGTGTTCTAGTGCTCGATCACCTCGACAGTAAAGAAGTCGTTCGTATTCGGGTGAAACTTCCCTTCCTGTGCATTGTCTCTTGTCCTATTACTTGTCACCGGGGAGAAGAGGCTGCTCCATCTTCTTGACACCCATCCTTTAGGTACGTGATCACATTGATGAGGTCCCCTCTCAGTCACCCCTTCCCGAGGCTGAACAGACCCGGCTCCCTCAGGCATTCCTGGTGAGAGAATTCTCCAGAGCCTTGGCTGAGGTACCTGCCCCAGAGCTCCCTGTCCCTCTGGTCTCTGCCCTCTCCGCAGACACCCCTGGAGGCCGCAGCAGCCCAGTGTCCCCTGCTGTCACCGACACCGCAGTGTCGCCTGCACCTGCCCCCGCACACCCCGACACGGCAGCCGTGTGGTGCCTCTGCTCCTCCTGTCACCATGTGGAGCACAGAGAGACCCCGGGCTGTCCCGCTCCTGTCTGCACTCCCCGTTGTGACAAAAGCAACAAAACCTGCACCAGCCAAAAGCAGCATGAACTCTGGCTGTAGTTCAGCCAGAAGCTACGAGAGGAATAATATTTTCAATATCTGTATTAACTTTGTGTGAGATGGGAGCTACTGGTTGAGGATTTGAGTTCCAGAACTGGTCTGTATGGCTGGTTCATTGGTTTGCCCTTTCATTAAAGAAAATAAGAAATCCACAACTACCCAAATGTTATTTTTATTTAAGGCTAATTAAAAAGTAAACTACAAAACTGAAAACAGTGGAAAGTGCAAGAAACAAGAAGAGAAAAAAATAAAGAGCTTTTAAAATCCAGAAGCTTGAAAGGAGAGAAAAGTTAAATCAGAGACACCCTTACTGCAAGCAGAACCAGAACAGAATTCCTAAAAAAAAAACAAAAAAAACAAAAAAAACAAAAAAAACAAAAAAAACAAAAAAAACAAAAAAAACAAAAAAAAAAAAAACCAAAAAAACTACTACTGTACTACTACTTACAGAGTGCATCTTTCTCCTGCCAACTGCAAGAGCCCCCTACTACTTGCAGAAAAGCAGCTGTTTCATCAGCTGTTATTGTACAATTCTACAAAAAAGCTTACTGGAAAGAAAAGTGGTTTATGTTCTCTTTTTATGCTAGAGAGAAAAGATAAATCTATTTAATGGTAGCCAAGGTAATGGATCTACATCTAGTAATGACTTGTCCCAAGAACATATTTAATTTGCCTGTATGAAATGGCATCTTCTCTCTCACAAGCACCAGCAATTCAAGTCACACATAAGTTTTACTTGCCACTACTGTGAGTATTTAAAAAGGAATTTGCTTATCCCAAAAGAGGTTTGGGCAAATACCCCATGGCTCTAACAGACCAATTTTTGGCACCCAGCTAAGAGGGATTTTGTTGCACAGGGATACTGTTTTGTGTGCTTATCCTGCTGCGATTCAAAATAGCTGTTTTCTCAGGCTCGTCCATTCAGAATGATATCATGTCCCGAGTACTCTCGTTAAATTAATTGCCTGAGTTTTCTTTGTTCCATGTGGTTGGATAAGCAAGGCTTATTGCCTGTGAGCTCATGGAAATAGCTTCATTTGAACAAATGTTCCATCCATCTCTCTACAGGCTCTATAGAAGATAATTAAAAACCATTCCCCCCCCCAACCAGAACCCATTTGTAGCCATGACACATACTTTGCTACCATTTATTTCCTGGGATCCTTCTATTCTTCCTGTGCCAATTTATTAAGCATCAATTAGATTGGGTTTAAAAAGTAGAAATCAAAGTAGCTGAACAGCTCTGAACATGTAAAACATGAGCATGAACAGCTCTCCACAGGTAAAAACAGCTGAATCAGAGATGCAGAACAGCCCTAAGTGTCCAAATGTATCACAGCTGACTTAACCTCTTTAACAGCAAAAGGAGAGTTTACGTGGGAGGGAATAGCAAAACTGAGGAAACAAAATGCAAGTTTAAAAGCAAAAATGGTCTTCCAGGACAAGTCTTGAAATTATTGCCTGTAAAAACTGGGATATTTTCCCTTCCAGAGACTTCGAAGGACCTTGAAAACTGCTTTTCCCGTTCTCTAGAGTAATTGCCCCCACCTCCTTTATTTTTGCTGAGGTATGTAAAAGGACAATTGGCATCCCTTTTCTAAAATAATAACTGGTTGGTCTAGAAAGATTGGGGTCCATTCTTGTGGGAAGGAAAGTGATTCACAGCTCATTTGGGGGAATTCTGAGGACACAAAAGGCAGGAATTGCATCCTTCAGGGAGGTAAGAAGGAGGAAAGGCCCCCACACATGAAACAAAGAGCATATTTCATTCTCCTTGCCATCAGTGGTGGAGCATGATCGGGACTGTTGGTGAGACCATGCTAACACCCCTGTCTTCTCCCATGTCCCCACATCTGTGCTCATGTGAAGGACTGCACAGCCCTGCTCTGGCTATGGGCACCAGCAAAAACATGAGGAGAGGGTGTGTGTCCCGTTGTTCCTGCATTCCCATCACAGCAGTGAAAACAATGGCTGTCTCTTGTTTAAACTACAACATTGTAAAAAACGGGTGCTGATTGCAAAACAGAGCAATGAACAGTAGTCTCATTCACATGCACAAAGTCCCTTGAGACAGCAGAAAGAGCAACTTTCCCAGGTCTCAGACATCTGATGCATCCGTAGAAGCCCCAGAGCCAGGGAGATGACCTACACCAAAAGCACCGCAAATTGTAACACTACTAAATAGTACCTTAGTTCCAGCTTTGCCTTATTTCAAATCCTGATATATACCTTGTCACATCCTAGCACTTACACATGAGCTGTCATGGAACAGGATCAAAGAGAAAGTCCACACCCAAGAAATGCCATGCAGGATTATTTTCCTGCCTTCACCTGCAGGAATTTAGTATTTTCAAGCTGAAAGATGGGAAATTTAGGTTAGATACTAGGAAGAAATTATTTTCTGTGAGGGTGGTGAGGCACTGGAACAGGTTGTCCAGAGAAGCTGTGGATGCTTCATCCCTGAAAGTGTTCAAGGCCAGCTTGGATGGGACTCTGACCAACCTGGTCTAGTGGGAGGTGTTCCTCTCCACAGCAGGCTGGAACTAGATGATTTTAAGGCTTCTTCCAACCCAAACCATTCGGTGGTTAAGAACCTTCCTTGTGTGCAGGTCTTCTGGAAACACAACAGTTCCCAGACATGGCTGAAGGATGCATCCATGGCTCAGGCCAGCCAACAAAAACCAGCCTGCAGTCTCCCCAGCACCGCAACAACAACGATGGGCCAACCTGACTTTTCAGGGTATGTTTTCAATGAAAATACATGTCTGCTATCACAGTAGGCTGCCCCCTCACTTCACACCTGCTGAACCTGCGCTGCTGTGCCTTTACTGCTGTTCTTACCAATGCTAATTAAAACTAGCTGTGGGTTTGCCTTTACACGCTGCAGTTGTTTTACTGTGTGGGCAAGCCCCGAGGTCCCAGGCCTGTTAGAAGTGTGAATGAAGCCCTCTGTCTCAGGAGCAATCTGAAAGCTGCTATGACCATTTTGGGGCACGCAGCAGTTCATTCTCACTGGAGCAAAGTAGATGATTAAATGAGCCAGTGCATTCTGTACAGCTGCAGATGCTCAGTCGATTGACAGTGGAGCTCTGAGCAAAAAATCAAAGGGAAGGACTACCAGAAATTAGGATATTGCAGTCAGTGAAAGCCAATTTGCACAGATTTACAAAGGGAATTTTACATTAAATTTCCATGCACACAGAGCTTTGCCATTCAAGTACACACTTGGCATGTTCTTGCCATTTGCCATAAATTTTCTAACTTGTTTATGTACACTTTTAGAATTTTCTCAAGCCATATTATTTGACCCAGATTGTTACTACTAAGGACCAAACCACTTGAACTAAGAATTTCTACAGGAAACTTGAACGGGTTTAGAAGTACCAAAGAAAAATGCAGATGCAGACTTTCATAAAATTGCTTAGCTGGAAAGAACTGCCAGAAAGTATATTTGTGCTAATGTAAGCCAGTTTTTCTGAATTAATTTTGAAACAATTCATCATTCATCCTCCTCACCTCCTTCCAATTTACAGCAGTCTCTGTAAACACAGCCAGGACACTGCAAGCAGATGATAGAACACTTTCCTTTTAAGAAAGATGATGGCGTAACTTCATACCTCTATAAACTTCACTATATTTGGTAAAGATTTCATAAAGGTTTGCATTCCATGACCACTACAGGAGCAGTGGTGGTCATTTCTGTATTCCTTGAAGAGCTACGAAAATTAACGCACCACCCAAAACATACATACAAGGCAAGTATCTTAGAGTCAGCTAATCTCTCCCTCTCTTTTTAATATTATTAAGTAACAGAAGCAACCAGGCAGATATAACACTTCAATGGTCTGGTGACTTCAGTAACAGTTGCACTGGCTTATTTGGCATCTCACCTCGTCTCTGAATATGATCAGAAAGGGATTTTGTTTCATAAGAATGTGGCACACAAAGAACCAATGAATTAAAAGCCTTATACCGATCTCAAATTGTCACGGTTTCAGTTTTGTAAAACTTAACACATTTACCATACAGAAATTAAGAGCACTGAAATGAATGCCTGGTTGTAGTCAGGTAGAGATTAGACTTTTTGCTCATTAAAGATAAATACAAAGAAGCACTACTGAATTACTTTAGGCTAATGAAGGTTGAACTCAAACATCACCACAGAAGTAAATGCTCTTGAAAAGAGCATGACAAATCACTCCTACTACAAATGTACTGGGCAAGCCCCTTTTAGCAGACAGGTTGTGCTTGTAAACTCAGGCAGATTTCTCAGCATATGAAGGACAAACCTCAAAAATTTCAGCCAGTTAAACA